TTATTTTACAGCTAAAATAAATGTTTATCAAATAAAGTCTAATGTTACAACTAATCGGAGATCCCTTTAACAAAAGAAAAATCTTCCTAGAACAACAGTTTATATGAATGCACATTATACTATTTCATATCTCTTCAACAATCCAAACTTTATAATTCTCTTAAACATGTACAGTGATTTGGCACTTTTAACATCAATTTCCATGTCATTCCACAATCTCACTCCACTYTTTATGAAGTAAAAACAAAGTATTTCTTCATTAATTTATGAGTAGGATGAACTTTAGGCTGCAGGGCTCATTCTTCTTGTTTCCAGCGTGTACGACAATGATTGTGTGGTGGTGTCGGAGCAACACATAGGTCCAGACTTCCCCTGGACGGGTTTCTCTCTGGTGGTTGAGTTCGACCACCCWGGCCCGTCCCCGTGGTCCTCGGTCTGCAGCGAGAGGAGCATTGACCACGTCTCTTTCAACACCAGCATCTCCGACTCTGGTTTGCTGCCAGCGTAGAAACTGTTCCCTGTTTTACAGGATGTTTGTTCTTCTCTGAATGTCTGTTTTTACTTTCTCTCTAAAGATGCCGAGACMTCCTCGTGGCGTCTGGAGGACAACGTTCCATTTACGGTTTTAGTGACCGAGGGGCTTCAGAACCGTCCACTGCTGCTCCAGACTGTTGAGTCAGGGTGAGCTTTTGTTTCATTCAAAAAAGTAAAAACAGAGACAAATCTCTATATTTAACCCTGACTAAATGAACACAAYCCATCATCTATGCTCAGATGTTTGTAAGCTACAAGCTGGAGATGASGATTTATTTGAATGTTTGTTTACAGTTTCAATGTGAATGTGCTGGAAAGGAGCCACTGTCCAACCCTGCAGATGCTCGGGGGGATCCACAACTACACTGTGATCACAGTAGATGAAAGCACTGCTGTTGTTATCCAGGTACACCTGCTTCATGAGGGTTTAATCTGTTCACTCAGCTGCATTCAGAACCTGAACCTTCAAACAGCTCTTAGTTCTTCTGATGAAGGGTGACTTTGCTCTGAGGGGTGTAGGAGGCAGGTTGAGATGCTGAGTTTACAGCTAGTGTGTGTGTGTGTGTGTGTGTGCGCAGGAGCAGGATGAACTGTGTGAAGGGCGAGCCAGTGAGGGACTGGTGATGAGGCTGACGGCTCTCTCTCTACAGTACAGCAGCTGTTGGCTCATCCTGTACTGTCCTGACAGCCAGGGAGGAGGGTCTGTGTTCACACACACACACACACACACACACACTTTTTTCTTCAACCCCGTGGGGACCGTGCATTGACTTCCATTCATTTTCTTTACACTTGATAGCCTAACCCTGACTGTTTACCCTAAAACTAACCCACACCTTGATCCTAACCTAACCCCCCACCTGTTATTTGCATTTGGACACGTGGGGACCTGGCATTGGTCCCCACGATGCACTTCGGCCCCCACGAGGCTGCTTTTTTGGGAAAAAATTTCCCCACGTTGTAGGAAAAACCCATCCACACCCAGGTTATAATAGTTTTGGATTTTTCCTTATAGTTTACTTTTATTTCATTTAGACTTTTTTCTTTTAATTCAGTTAG